CCTCTCGTGACGGATTGAAAGTGACATCTAGCCGGAAATGGAGCGAATAAAAAGGAGCGCGAGAAAAAAGGAAGAAGAAAGACTGGATTTGATAGACCTTAGTCATCTCAAATTGTATCGATCTCTCCTCTTTTTTTTCATCCTCATGTTCCATTCTTCACGTTTCTGCCTTCACGAAATGTGAATCATGGCAGAAAATACTCCCCCTTTCCGTTTGAGTAATAGACAAGACAAATTCAAGGCGAAATAACCGTGATTTGGTGTGATTTATTCGTCCTAAATGCCCTCTCTTTGCCCTCTTTCACGATGATCAAACAAGTTCAATAACGCATCACATCGTCTTTCTTCTCTATTTTGATTTATTACGAAACACTTGCGCCGACCCCGATATATCGTATGAAGAATTATTACCCCCACTCACCCCAGCGTTTCAAGTTGGGTAACTATTATTTTTCAAGAATGAATTAAAAGTTATCATGGAAAATGGCTACATCGTTACTTACGGGTCCTGACACCTTACAATTGTAGTTATTTTCTTCTTTTTTTCTTCCAAACTTCATTTTTCCAACATGTGTAAGGGGCTCTATGTTCGAAAACTGGCCAATCAGAGACCAAGAAATATGGGTATTTTGGAACTATTCTTCATAAGGTCATTTTTCCGACCCACTGACCACTTCAAGGTTCTGTTTCATAAAACTTGGTATCTCTAACAAACGCTATATTCTATGACAAATTTGCTCTCAGCCAATCAGATGCCACAATTTTAGTAGCTTATAACAGTCATTGTAACTTGTTGTTGATAACACGTGTTATGAAACATGGCCTTGATTTCCTCATACTTTTTCAACGATAATTGAAAAGGAAGATTTTATTTCCCAAACATGTCATATCCATAGGTTCTGAGAAAAGAACCCTATTCTATGATTTCCAATAAACGTTTTGGCAAACAAAATAATGACCCATATTGCAGAAGTGTGATATGGAAACAATAAACACCTCTTCGGAAACATCCATACAACTCAAAACAAATTTAGATATCTTTATTAATTTGAAGGCAAAGCATTATGTGGATGAAACAATATTTTTTGAGAAAAATAAATGATTTTATTGCACACACAGAATGTACACCGAAAAGGTAAGTGATGTTAACATATTTTGGAAACAAAGTCGTTCTTCAGTTGTATTTGCTTTCCCATGAGAAATGCAACTTTTGAAAATTAAATTGAAGCTTTTATCTACTATGAGTACATTAACAAATAAAAAAAGTGCTATTTCATCAAATTTATTCTTCGATGTTTTGGAACCGTAGTCTTCAATCATCGAGAAAAAAAATTTAATACAAATAAAACACAAATTGAAAGATTTTCGAAATATCAACGGAGTCACTTTCGAATTTGCGAATATTTTAATGACGTATTGCGTAATCCAAACATGATTTGGGTGTATTCAAATCGATTTCTCGAAAGTCTTCTCGATCGCGTTGTATAAAGTTTCTTACTCTCTCCTATTCTGTACAAGGAGATACAGTGTTGTAATATGAATTTTATTATATCTTAGTGATAGAGCCTGTTTCTCTGATTGTGTAACAAGCGGAATTATTGGCTCATTTTGGATAGTGTTACTTCAAAGCTTCCCTTTCCGATCATTTTTTTTAAATGCATAGTGGGTTTTCATGGGGAATTTGACGCCATTCTGATGCAAACCCAATATTACAGGTGTTGTCAGTCACCAAGAATGGACTTCACTTTTTCGACAGACATATCTTATGTAATGCATTATGCACTGTGCCCTAGCATGGACCTACTAAGGCCCTAGCCTACCACCGTATGAAATTAAATTTCCCTCCCCCTCGAGATATAGGCATGTTGGATCAATTCTGGTGGGACCATGGGTTCGCTGCTTCCGAGACCTTTGCACACGCAGACACATTACTTGGTGATTCAATCAAATATTATAGTGTCAGCGAATTAAAATGCAATACACATGGACACTGAGTATTAACCTAAGTATATGTCAAATTATGAGCATAGTGACGTCATCAATGCTACACATTTCATCTTTCTTTCTTTTTCTTTCTAGCCGATTACAATGTTACCAAATGCTTCCGGAATCCACAGGCAGTGTTAAAAGCTTATGGAATTCGCCACCGAAATAATTACCGATTACTCAGGAATTATTAACACCAAACCAACAGTCCGTTTCATGATTAGCGGTCATATCTCATCAGAACGCCCCCAACGTTCTTTAAATCAATATTATTTCAGAGAAAAGGGAGGAGGGGATTATTCCAAGTTTCCCTTCTTTAATTCCCTCCCCTTCGATTAATCTCAAACCTTGTTTTAAGTTCAAACACTCAATTATCCAATAAAAGCGATACTCAATGCACAATTCCCAATGCTACCCATTAACCAGGCAGCCCTTATTGCCCTATCCTTGTGTACTAATTCGCCAATATTCATTGCCTAAATCTAATTAGCCGCCGACCAAGGCGTCAAGAAATATTTCCATCCCCAAAAGGGTGCAAGTGTGTCGCGCGTAGTCTGTGCCGACCAGACCTCATCATTTGCTGTGAGTCATTATTAGGCCTCTTTCTTGGTTTTTAAATCCTGGGCATGTCAAATGCAAGATTTGATTTGTACCAACGGATGTTAACAAAACGTGAGTGTTGTTTTACTAAACAAAATAATCTTATTTGAAGTTAAGTCAGAATTACAAAGACTGTGAGTATTAAAATAGAAGACAGTTAATGGCTAGACATGATTAAATCATTAAAGCCGCTCCAAACTCTAAGGAAAGAAAAGAAAACAAAAGAGAACAAACATTATTATAGTCAAGTTCAGTTTCAAGTTCAGTTTATTTCACATCCAAATATTAGTCCGAAACAAAGAAAATAAAAGATAACTCATTCATCAAGAAAAGAAAGGAGATAATCAAAAATATCTCGTCATTGACTTGTATGATTGAATTGGTTCTCATGATCAGTTTTACTGGTTAAAAATAACCTCTCAAAATGATTCTTTTTAATGAATATTACATTGATGAGTAGGAAGACCCAAACAATTAAATAACCCGTTTTCCCATACAAGGCGAAATCAATTGCGCTATTATTTATCCTTGCTGAATTCGCATTTAGTGTGCTGATGCATCTATTTAATATTCTCAAAACATCTCAACTCCATAATTATGAGATATTGTTGCACGGCAGCGTCTGTTTCTCTAGACTAGTCAGTCTCAACTCCTGCCGGTCGTTTGTTATTGGTGTGAGGGGGGCATTTCAGCTTTCGGCACCGTTCGATAGGGGCAGTTTTCTCGCATCATTTGTGATAACTGGTCGCATCTTATTTCTTTCCGCTCTACCTCTGGATTTCGGAAAATTCTTCATCAAATTAAAGACAAATCAGTAATTCGGTGGCAATTTCAAGGAATTGGTTGTTTTTAGGTAAGCAGCATCATTTTTAATTGTGATACATGTATAGTACAAATAACAAATTAATGATTTTGCTCGTTAGCCATTAGTAAGGATTATTCATCACGACATAATTTATGTGTTTTAATTTACGGGGATTCCAATGGTATTGTGTGTGTGTCGAGAGTTCATGTGATTTTTAAGCTTTTACTTTTCTTTATTATATATACCGTCTTGAAGTTAAATACGTTCGTTGGTTAAATTAAATGATGAAATTGATTGTTTCAATTGTCAGCTCTGCCATAAACCTGGCAATGAATTATAATATGGTTTAAGAAATTAATAATTATAATTGTATATTTCTCTCCTTTAGTGAATCAAAGAATTTTAGAAAGATAATAGTTACATTATATCTTTCTCATATCACCAAACATTTGAAATAACTGAAATCGTTTACTCTGGCGTCTCCGAATTATTCTCCAGTAACAGTTCTGATTTATTGATTGTTTACTTATTCGAGTGAGACAAACGTTTTCACTACAATCCCTTTATTTTGAGAAAGGAGATGGTGCACATTGTGCGTAAATGAATCAGATGACTGTGGTAATGATATCTGTTAGGCGCTTAGAGACGGTATTTCGTATTAAGCGCTCTATAAATCCAGATTAGTATTATTATTTGACTAGGCGTGAAATTAGTTGTGTTAAAATCAATTTTGATATGATGAATAGTGGTAGATCACAATCTGTTTTAACAAATGTGTAAGGAGGTTTTTGATGGTTCATAGTTTACCCTTAATGTTTTCTTCTTAGTTTCTATGTTCATAGAATTCATATTATGTTTCTAACAGAATGAACGGAGCTTGTTTCATGTATGGCTCTCTTAATGTTTAAGGAGGAGGATTGTTTTACCTGACTGCTAGAAAGCAAGTATATACTTGTAAGTAAGCAACAATGGGGCCGACGGCTCTATGTCCTCTCCGAGGGGTTGGTAATGATGACCAATGCCTTACCAAAGGGCGCAATAGCACTGACTTCGTTTCGAACCCTGGACCTCCCAATTTCGAGACCACTTCTCTATTATGCAGCTATCGCTTTCTTCTTTCAAAATTGGATTTAATTCGACTACAAATGTTTTCAATAATGGTCTCATTACTCATTGTATTTTTTTCACAATTTTTCCTTTAAATTCTGACTTTTCTTATCAGAAAATTATTGAAAAAGTATGAAAATTTCGCTTGCAGCGATTAAACAGTTTTCTATTTGCTGACATAGCAACAAAGAGTTCCTATTGAATTTTATTTCAATCAGACTCTGTCTTTCGAGGCAAAATAGTAAATTTGTAGGCCTATACAAAAATAGTAACATTTCCTGTTAAAATGATTTAAAGCATAAAAGGTATAAGAAAGAGTTATACAATTCAGATGAATTTGTGAATTCAATTTATTTACAACTCTGTATTTTTTTCTCAATGAAATTCTCCCATTTTATATTCACTGCAAGACCGTCTGAATTGGTGAAGGCGACCTACAAATCGATTTCATGATGAAATTGAAACAAATAACCTTTTATAACTACACAATTGAAACAGGGTATCACTTTCTTCGGTCACTTGCACTCTGTCATTCAATGAAATATAGGCCTTTGACCGTGTTTATAGGTGGTTCGAACTTCAAAACCCCCAAATGTCTCTGTTGATTTGATCAAGGCTCGGTTAGCCGCCTGACACGGGTATTTTGGAGGGGTATGGAATAAGCACCATACGGTGATCGGTGATAGGCCCGGCCGCTCGGGCATGTCTCGGCCTCGCCACCCCGATACCCCATGCTGTTCGCGCGCTGGGTGAGACGGGTTGTTTTTCTTCGCTTTTCCGCCTTGTCCGTTCGTTCGCTTCTGGCTCAGTATGACTGTACTATATTTTGACCAGTCACACACTGGTGCTACTACTACACGCAGTATACACACTCCCCTCGACCCAGCGTTAGTAGGTCCACGGTTAGATGGTACGGGGGAAATCTATTGACTTGCTCCAGCTTACACGCATCTCTCTCATCTTCATCTTCGAATTAGTGTCTTGTGATTTGTAAGTATACCCGGAACATTATAATTGTCATTCGATTTGAGCAATAATTTTTCCGAAGTGACCGGAGATTATTCATGCTACATTTTAGTATTTTGTGTCTGTTATTGATAAGCGCACGTGTATTTCCAAGATAAGTTTTTACAATCGGGACCTCAGTCGTCTTCTCCCCCGCATCTCGACGCCTGGTCACTGGTGAGCTACCCGTGTCTGCCCCGAGGCGATGTCCTGTTTTCTTCCGGTTTCGCTTCACTTTTTCTGGAGTCTATTCCTAACCTCGTTTGTTGTTTTCGTAATGACAATGTTTTTAACGAGTGCTTGTTATTTACATACAGTGCAGTATAGATATTGGGAGATTGGAAAGCTATTGACAAATTTCTTTAGCCATGGTATATTTTTCTTTTTTTTCTGTTTTCTTCTTGATAGTAAGGTAACACAGCTATAGTATAGGTTTCCGCCTATTTTGAGTAATAAGCGTTTAACCAGGGCATGTGAGTTAAAGTCTCACCTCCCTGGTTTAACAGCTCCTTCCTACCATGGCTATAGCCTATAGTTTTGTTCTCTCTCTTAAAATCACGAATATGTAATTATCCTTTCTCCTCAGAGATACTCATGTTCGTTGGTGTCTGTATTTATTGTTGGAGTAGTGCCTCTTGCTTTAAGGAAAGGAGGTGCGATGGCTCAGTGGTATAGAGCAGTAGAATCGCAACCGGAAGGTCCCGTGTTCAAAGGTGATGGTGCCCTTCGGTAAGGCAATAATCCACATTGCCAAGTAAAGCTGTCGGTCACCTGGTTGCTTACTGGCAAGCATGCCCATGCTAGCAGTCTGGTAAAACCAACCAACCAAGCTTTTTATTCGCCTATAGTATATCTTTAGGCTAGTATAGAATCATGTAGCTGTAATAATGGTCGTGTGGTGGAGTCAGTAATTTTGTTAACGATGACTTGATGAAATCAGTAAGGATAATGAGATGTGAAAGGTCAGGGGTCACTTTAAAACCAACTGCATGAACCTCGATCAGTACCAATCATTTTTATTATGGGGTGTAAATGTGACACGAATAAGGGAAATGGTCAGCTGTCAGTGTCACAAATTGAAAAAAAATGATTAGATGTTCCGAACTCAATGAACACAAGTCAATTGAGCATGATTTTGAGATTGCTTTCAAACAGTAAATCAAGTATATCAATACCCTTCAGATTTTCCGTCAATAATTAAAGGACACTTAAGAATTCAACTCGAGTGCGATGCCTATGCCGTGTTGAATTTCCTATAGAAATTAGGTTCACATTATATATAAATTCACTGTCATGTTTGAAGGTATACAGTACAAATATGATGCGCAAGTCTATTTAAATTGCCTTAGATTGGTATCATGGAAAGTTCAACGATCGTTTTAACTAGGATGATAATGAAAATGTAACTTTACGACTATAATCGATGTAATTGTTATTCCCCTATACATTCCTAACGGTAGAGCCTATTGTATGTATTGAGATTTATTAACAATAGTCATAAATCGTTTTGACAATAGCATGCAGATCTATGTTACTGTTTAATACCTTGACGGTGATAAATTGATTTAATCCTTCCTCAGTCCTCACACTTCAAATAAATGTGATGTGCTGCTAATGAGAATATTCCTCTTAATTTCTCCTCATCTCACCTGCAGCTCACTAGTCTCTCGACCTGCCAAAACTTCCTTTCCATAAATTATTACGACATCATTTCACAGGTTGAGTTCTGGGAAATATTGAAGAAGGGAATAATCAAGCCTTCTTGCTCTTCTTATTCCTTCGTGTGCATATACACTAAACTGATTGTTCTTGAAAGGCTCTCTACTTCAAATAAAAGTATTTATAAGCTAAAGCTTCAGACCAATTTATGATGCCACATCATCATGACTTATGTATAATCCGATACACTCATATTCATCTGGCTGTGAATTGGGATAGTTATAAATTATGTAAGTCAATTTGTATGATATCATTTTCAATACAGTTTCTGTTTCAAGATTCTAGAACCTCACATTACACAATCATTATTTTAATTACAATACTACAAATAATAATCATAATCATCCTTTCGAAAATTCTATTCCCAGTTTCTTTCAAAATTGAATCACATGAAACACTATTGTGCAAAAAACTGTCAAGGAATCGACTCAAGGGCGACTTCAACATCCAACTATTTTGCCTTTAGTTTAGACAGTAGACACCCCATGTTCGGCTTATGTAATCAACTGATAACTTGTAAAGTTCGCACATTCCTGCAGGTGATGAATTAATGCTCTTGATTATGCGTGTAATTGATTACTCAAAAGCCTTTGCCATCGATGTATGAATAGCTCTCAACTTTCAACTTTCAAAATATGCGATTCCAAGAACTAACATAGAAAAATGTTGATCATGCTCTCGAGTAAGCCTTCTTTCCCGGTATAGTTTGGTGTAAGAAACGCGTGCTCCTTAGCAAAGGGTGTCAAGAGACTCAACACCGGGGTGTTAATCACTTAATGTTTATTACCATCCTGGTGTATGTTTCATGTACCAATATCGTTTGACGTTGATGACTTTTGTATAAAGTGTGATCAGTCTTGACGAATTAAGTACTCGTATGAGATTCTCTTAATTTTCGTGTATTGAAATGAAGGGATGTATTGACATCACAATGTCCTTCATTGTATGTCTTTAGTAGAAAAAGAAATCAGCCTAGTAATGTTTTTGTTACCATTGCTAGAAAATAATTCATTGGTAAAATCTTGTCATGATATGGAAACGTGTACAGCTCAAGCGAAACCAAAAGAATAGAAATTCAATTAAAGAGGTTTCGTTTCATTAATAAATATTTTACCGTGTTATTTATTTATTCATTGATTCATTATAGGGATATTGCACCAAAACATTGAATTAGACTAGCACACCTACCTAATAATGCCATATCAATAGTCGAATGCGTATTAATGTGTTTATTTAATCTTTTCATTATGCCGAATTCAGAAGCGTCGAAGAGTTAGGTATGGTCATCTCGTAAGGTCTCGTGGTTTAGCGCCCTCTTTAAGATATTCATTACATCTTTTTTTAGAATGTTATAATAAAGCTTGTCAATAAACTTTGATAATACTTTGGCAACCTTTCCTTTTGTTTTATCATTGTTTGGAACTTAAGGCTCCACTAATTTCATCGAATAAAAAAGATGGATAAGGATTGTATATTAATGATACAAATTAAGCTGAAAGCAACTACAAGTATAAAATAATTGTGAGTGTGATTAAGTTAAGCAATCACCCCCCCCCCCCCCTTTGCGCGTGGGTAGGGGTTTATTCCAACTCATCTGTTATCATTTTCCCATACATTTTTTTCCTTATTATTACATCTTTTCTTTTTGGGGCATGTTTTTTAAGATTTCTTAATACAGTATACATGTATATTGGAACCATTGAATCAGATATAGATATTTTTGTATTATGTGATTTTATTCGTCACAACATTAAATTTTAACAACTTTTCCCCCTTTTTCATCTAAGTATTAGGAACATATTATATGATATAACATTATATTACATTTGCTCATGCATGTGGTTACCATTTTTTATGCAGGTTTTAAATACATTCAAGTGAAATAAATTTCCAAAGTATATAAATAATATTGTCTATATAGCTTGATCGAGTTGGCAATTTAATGCTTTTATTATCTCTTCTGTAATTACTCAAAATACTGTGATGAATTGAGAATTGTTAATTCCAAGAAATAAAAAGAGGACTTACACTTTTTTATAATGTAATATCCAATATCAATTTCACAGATTTTGCTTCCAATATTGCTCTCAAGGAGATGGTGATATTTCCATGCACTGTCCACGCTCTTCCTCAGTTTCCTTTAACAAAGAGATAAATATTCGCTTCTAAATTTGTGTTCAGGAAAAGAAAAGTATATATTCCCCTTCAAATTTATGTTCAGGAAAAGAAAAGTATACATTCCCTTTTAAAGTTGTGTTCAGGAAAAGAAAAATTGATGGACCATTTTCTTTTTGAAGAACGCAGAGTATAATCACCCAACTCGCCCCTACCCCTTACCATTATCGCAGTTTGACCCTCCATGGACAGCGAGGATCCCTTTACTTTATATAAATATCATATATATCATGATTATCTTGTCTATATATAAAATAATGAAATTCTGTGCATGGTGTTTAAATAAGGGTTACACGACCCCCGGATTTAGAATTAATATTGATTGCAATTATTTGAATTGACGTGGAGCACGCAGGCAACTCTTTATGGGTATTTCCCTCGGTCATCTTACTGCATCTGACGTTGAATACCCGCCCATGCACTAAGCCAAATAACGTCTGAAAATGCGCCGAAAATGCCCATAATACCCCAAATTAGGGCAATATACTCTCCGAGCATGTAGCCACCTCAATACAGCCGCTCGAAGCAATTATCCTGCAACCCATGACGAGCAACGCCAGAACTTCCGGCTGACAGTGCCAATAGTGTTCCGTTCCGTGATACCTGCTAAAAAGGAGAGATTTTGCCACTGTTTCGTCAAATATCGAGCTTTAGAAGCGAATTTGGCAAATGGGAAATGACAGAATTTGTCCTCCGTATCGGCCATGACAAGTGATTAATGATCATGCAGGTTTTTTGTGCTAAATTAGGCTGTAACAACTAGCAACAAAAGTGAACTAAAAATACATATTTGAAGAAAAACATGTACCATGCAGGAACAGCCTTTGCTTTTCGATTTACGCTGTTGGAAGTTTTCTTTTAGAGGTTTTGTTATGGTGTACATAATAACTCTTAAACACAATGAAAATGTATGGATTTAAGTAAGTTATTTATTATAATTCCGCCATGGACAAAGATAAACACGCTTTTGAGGGTTTACAAATATTGTCAATTTCATGAACAATGTCTCGCAATATCAACACATTTGTACATCATTTCTCCCGATGCCTATCCTAAGAGTCTGCGAAATGTTATCAACAAGATTTAGTTTAAAAATCATAAGGGCAGCGGCTTAGCGTTCGGGGCAAAATACAGCGAATTGATAAATAACATAACTGTAATAACCATTTTCAGCCTCAAAAATCGATAGTCGTTAGGTTTCTGTGAGTTTTCAGTGGATAAGGTATGTTTTCGAAACTGAAAATTTCCTAAAATAATAGGCAAAACTTTTTGTTTTTCCTTTCAGTAGGTTTCCTCAATTTCTCTTTGTAGTTCGAGTCAAAATATTGTTAGCACGTCGCCTTTTCAAAGCCAGAAGAGAGCCAGAAGGCTGTTGAATCTGTGTATAGGTATATGTTGAGACAATGCCCTTCTTGCTCCAAACATAAGATGACACGCTTTATATTTCCACACCATTGTGACGTGGATAATTTTATATTCATACTGTGGCCTTACAGTATAATTTCAAAGAAAATCACTTGTCGATGTCATTGAGTTTTGATTTTCTTACGAACTTCCTCATCACCTTCGCACCTGTACTTCGGGCTTACCAAACTGTCAACTCCACTTCCGATCAGAAAGTTAATTTTTTAAATCAAAGAGGTAGTACTGGGCAAAGAGTAACGATTTTAAGTTGCCAGAAGTCTTTATTGATTTTGACTGAAACAACAAATGTTTTTGATGCCCCTTCACTATTTTAAAAATCTGACAATTGTCTATTTTGTCTGTTTGTTTGCTTGTTTACACATCGTTAGACATGGCATCACTTGTTTCAGGTGAAAGTTATTTTGAAAATTGTTTATTCTATACTCTACTACGTTTAATGCATTATTTCCTCCCATTACTTGACTTGAAGACAGCCGCAGTGATATTGAGACATAAAGTCTCTAAAGAATCCATGATATTTCTACCTGCCAATGACTCATTTACCTCTCCAGGGTAGGGAGAGGCAAAAGTAGATTAAATACCAATTATGAACAAGATAACTCTCCATTTTCTTGAGTTAGATACCATTGCCATTGCTGGTAATGGTCTTTAACATTCTGTTTCTTTCTAAATGATATGGTTTCTTAGTCCTCGATGCCAAACAGAAACTTTTTCCTCAACTTCTGTGGTGTTTCGCAAAAAACGATAATGCAATCATGTAAGTTTGAATGAAAAAATTAGACTCTTTTATCGCTTAAGACAATGACATCTTATCTAGTGTGTTGAGAAGAAGGATGCGGTTCATAACCCGAACGTGGCAGTACCACTTAAACTCCAATGACATGTTTTTTGTTTGGTTTTGTTTCGCCTCCCGATCACAGAATCGTCCACCTGTTCGAGAAAGTTTGGAGAGAGTGCTCTTGACGTACCCATATCCTCTACTCCGAGAGTGACCGCGGGTGGACAGATTGAGAAAAAGGGTGTCTCATCCTTATCGCATCCTCTTCAGTCGACACGCTTTCTTAGAAGTATCGCAGCGTATCACACTCGACTCACCCGGTGCAACAAGGAGAGTCCACAGCCGTCAGATCTGCCATCCTTTGAGGACACGTTCAGCGCGTCTGCAAGTCTGACGTCATTCTTGCGTCACCGTTCGGGTCTAGGTGTTAGCGAGAACTCGTCTGGCGAATCGCGTGAACCTGCGCGTCCGGTTGCGGAGTCTGGAGAAGGGGAGTGGGAAAAGATGACAAACGAGAGTTTGAAGTTGTTGCAACGGGAAGCAGCTTCTGACGGTATCCACAAGGACCATACAATTAACGCTATGCACGGGACCACAACGAACCACCCTGGACCAATGCACCTGCACAACGCGGTGCGCGCCGCAGCGGCCCACGGCGTCGGCGTTGGTGTGATGGAGGAAGCGCATCGACGTCTAACCGCGATGCAGTCGCCGATTGCGTCAAGCCCGGGAACCGTCAAAGCAGAAATCAGCGACCACGGCTCGCCCGAGGGAGCGCTGAACGGATCGCTGGGTGACGACGCTAATGCCAAGAGGAAAAAGAGGAGGAACAGGACGACGTTTACTAGTTTCCAACTCGAGGAGATGGAGAAAGTCTTTCAAAAGACACATTACCCGGACGTTTACTGCCGGGAGCAGCTGGCCCTAAGATGTGATCTGACCGAAGCTCGTGTACAGGTGAGTCTTGTCTGCCTGCACCTAAAACTGAGGCGTCATTTCGACTGCGTTATAACTTGTGCTAATTAAACCACTGAAGGCAATTAGTTCATGCGCTAGCAATTCAATTCATTGTTTGTTCTGTTTGTTTTTGCATTCCCCTCTGTAACATATAAGTCTCGTATTTGACGTTAAAGAGCAATATAGCATGCTATTCGCTGACCAGCAAAATGGCGCTTCTCGTGAAATTAGGACTGCGTCAGTCAAAATCGCAGTCTTTGGCGCTTCATGCGAGGGTGAGACCATACAAAATTGTGATTGCAAAATGAACAGCGCCAATAGGTGGTTTCAAGTATTGGTGTATATGCGCTAATTGCCTTCAGAGAGTCGATTGGTGCAGGTACTAACACAACCGAAATGACGCCTTAAACGCAACGGGAGTATAAATCTAATATTTCTGTCACGCGTTGGCGCTCCAGAATCCATAACAATTATGTGCACTATTCAATTTAATGAAGTATCATTTGAAAAAATACCTGCTTCACGATTATAAAGACAGTACTCTGTATCCACAAGCATGTAAAAGGACAAACACAAAATTTCCATGGATGTTTTTTTTTTTTTAGTTTCGTACAAATGCAACTATAATGGAATTATTGCCGTTGTATCACTTCTCTTAAAACATCGACCATTGTGGGAAACGTAAGCGCTACCTTTTAGACATGCCCAAGGTTTTGATATGCATTGAAGGTAGGCTGGAAACCTGTACAACAATGCGAGTTGGTCGTCATAGATCCTCGTAAATGAATTACCAATTACCATCAATTATAAAGATCATTGAACATAGTAATTTCATTACGACGTGGCCAGATTTTAACAGAACTGCATTGAAATTGACTCATCTTTACATCAATAATGAGTCTACCTTTCAATGCTAAAATGACTGTCCTTTAGAATCCAACCTCTTTAAAAAAAAAATTAAAAAGCCTTTTATGTAATTTTGTAATACTTTAATCCTGTTCAAGTGTGGGGTTGTTTCTTCTTTTATTCTTCTTCCCACTCCATCCCATGTCCTCGTAATTTATTTTGATTCTCTCAACGTGTTGCCAATTTAATGATTTTAAAGCTTATTTTCCTCTTTTAATTCCTGTCATCAAACACAGCATGGTCATGCAATAAAAATGGAGACGATGTGAGCAGAAACTTTTGTCGTTTCTACTCATGTATCTGTAATATTTATAGGGCTCCGGATTAAAAGTTATTAAACCAAACCACTAAATTGTTATAACTGCCTTGCGATCCGCATCCACGCTCCTTCCACCCTCTTTCCAAATCAGTTGACAAAGATAATTCTTCAGTATGTTCAAGGTGGAATATTCGGAGACGTTTAACGGTTGTAAACTCGAGTTGTAAATTAGTGTTCTACGTCGTTTGGCATCGCTCGGCCGCGTAACTCTCGCCGTCAACACACCGGTCGAGGGACCCTCAAACCTTGGGCGGGGAAATTTATAGCGAGAACATGTGCGCGCGAAGGGCGAATCGTCCCACGGAATGTTCCACCGCTGCGAAACACGGAGAAATATCCCGGTCATGTATCGTCTGTTGTGAACTCGCTGATGTGCAACGACAACTGGCCCTTCGCCGACGGCCGCTCGACCTTCGGCGAGGTTATTTCGGACGAGGAAGGGAGGACGATTGTTGAGTTATTTAAATGTTTTACGAGGAAGAAAGATTGTTTCAAGAGAGGCCGATTGGCAAGTTTTGTCGTCGGACATAATCCCCGTCAATGCCGCGATCCTGAATCAAAGGCGGGTTCGAGTCTTTTATGGGCCGATGGCGTTATGTGGTGGATTTACGGGCCACTTTAATTGCGCGTTAAACTTTCATTACGTTTGTTTTAATGAAAGATATGACGATTTATATTCGGGCAAGAGAAGAAGTGACAGAATACACTATGAAATAGTAACAAGCAAGGAACATTAAAAAAAACGAAGAAAATCCGACCAAAATCATTGACGTGTGCCCCGCAAGGCCAACTAAAATCAACTTCCTACTTTTTAGCCTCCCCTCCTCCTTCCCCCTTTCTGCCCGCCGCAAACTTTGTGTTCATTACAAACTCACCAAATATAAGAGAAAATAGTTGACATAAACGTATTTAAATATTACATGTACATTAAAAAAAAACGTTTTTGAAATCATCCATAATCCTCAAAACGCTGCATGTTTTGGAAAATGAATGAAAACGAGAAAAAATAGTACTGGAAAATGCCAACAATAAAGCATGCAACCTGCCAATTAGGGCCATGATATGTCAAAATCAATGAGAATTTACTACAGTCAGTAGAGAATCTAAAGATTATACTTTTTTCGCCAACCCCAGGCATACAATGCAATGCTTAATATCTCTTTGCATAGAAACGAGAGCCCCAATATTTTGTATACACATGAGTTTTTTATGCGCGATGATGCTATATCTTGAAGTCGAATAACTCGTATGAGAACCAATGATGAGTGTCTAGTACTTAAGTAACTTTACAAATTATATCCTCCATATTAGATAGAATGCTTAGCTCACCGTATTCCAAAATAAAGAATTAAAATATAAAAGGCACAAGTGACGCTAAAATTGCTCGGTTCTAATAACATTTTGATCCTTTCAACATAAAATTAGATTAGGTCAGAACAACTTAAACAAACAAATATTATTACAAAACTTGTGAATGCTGAGTTCTTTTAATACCGTATTACAACATCCATCGTTTTGAAGTGAACATAGAGATTTGAAGGATTTGTTTTTGTATTTTTACGATCTGTCCTTTGACGGAAGTGATCAGCATTTCATTCATGTAAAATATTCTTGCCAAAACTCTGCATTATCTTTAAACAATTCCATTATGAATCTACCCATTGACCTGGCTACTCAAGACGAGACAGCCACATATAGTGATGATCCTTGCCAAATTTTCATTTTATATTTAATGCATTTTTTGATTATTTTGTTGTTTCTTTGGTTACTTTCCTGTCCTTTTCCCCTCGCTCCCAAATTTCGTCATTCGTCTTTTCTTTCGTTGCTGGGTATCCGTTGCGGTATACATCAGAGATGTAGCAATGATATGGAGGGGTAATGACCAGGTATCTGTTGTTCTGGTAGAGGGAGAAGATAGGGTATTTTAGGGGTTGTAATTAATTGGCTATAAATTTAAAGCGTACGCTTATACATTGTGTGAGCGAGTGTAACGATCGAGCGAAAACTCGAACGAAATATGGGGACATGACTCTCTTTCACTTGTTCACTCTCTCTGTCCTATTCACCCTCTTTGTATGTTATCATTCTTTGTTTATCTATTTGCTTCTCTTTCTTCACTCAATCTCTCTCTTCAAAACTCCAGCAATGTATTACATGTACCTGTATATATTCATTCTTCGTTTCTGCCATGTTTCAACAATGCAAACTCCCCTTTCTGAAAAAATCCTAACAACTGTCATCTCTATCACTCTCCCTCCCCCCCCCCCCCCCCGCTCTCTCTCTTCCCTCTCTCTCTCCCTAAATCCAATAATTTCTAACCTGTACCCCTCCACACTTTTATCATTAAAATTCCCCTTTTGGGGAAATCGTAACATGTTTCATTCCCCCCCCCCCCCTCTCTCTCTCTCTCTCTCTCTCTCTCTCTCTATTTCTCTCTCTCTCTCTTCTGAAACCTCCCTTCCATTATCAATGTGTGGATTTATTTCATTAGGGGCCTTGTCTGCTGAAGGCATTGCTCGGCGTTCCCTGCGTAGTTATATATATTATATATATACATATATACCCGCGTGATTCAAGCTTTTCGTCTGGCGTGGGGGGACAATTGTAGATAATTCGTCGTGGCAGGTGACGGTATTTGTCAAACTTCTGCAAATCAGTGGGCATTTCGAGGCACCTGATACCCTGACTGAGGATGGAGCCCGTTAAAAATCAAACGCTTTGCATTATGCCTGTACTACTGTAGAGTGATGATTTTTGTTATTGTTGGTTTGTATTGTTCAGGTAAATTTATATGGGCTTACAGAAAATAACACTGATGAAGATCTACATGAAGTTGGTAGTCTTGTAATCCGGGACCCGGGTTCGAAACCAAGTCGATACACTAGTGCCTTTTGGTAAGGCATTAATCCTCATTACCAGGTCCCTCGAGAGGACCTAGAGCCGTCTGTCCCCTGGTTGCTTGCTATCAAGCATTTATGCTTTCTTGGCAGTCAGGTAAAATAACCACTACCTCTCCTCATACTACTACTACTACTACTACTACTACTACTACTACTACTACTACTACTATTACTACTACTACTACTACTACTACTACTACTACTATTACTACTACTACTACTACTACATTCCAAGTAAACATGGTGATTCATAGAGCTTCTTGCATTATTAAAACTGACGAGTAAATAGATGAATATATGATACACACAAATCACAAATTAATTATTGATCAAATAGAGAAAAACAAACAAGAATAACTTACTAATTAACTAATGACTAGCTGAAATAAATACATTAATAGATTAATAGATAAGTAAAAGGAATTATGAATTGATTTTTATATAAAAAGATAAATAAATAAATGAATGAATTAACAGATAAATAAATAGATATACTAAATAAAATAAAGGGTGAGAAAACTAAGAAAAAGCCAATATTTGGAGGATTTTCAAGCGAACAAATTTAGCCTACTTCATGATAAAACATCGACTCGAATGACATTTGAAGATTTCCCTTTTCCTTTCCAGTTTTGACCAGAACTGAACCTGATATGTAACCTGCTAATTACTCAGGCCCTATCTTGAGTTGTGTAACGTTAATTCAAATACAAACATAACAAATGAATCATGCTTTTGATGCTCATAAAGTAAGCATAAATTGTGATAAACATAATTTTGGTACAGCTACTGAGATTTGTTGTTATCTCTTTACTTTTACCCAATTTTTTTATCGAAACTAAATTAAACAAATTTTAACAACTGATTAATTTATGGAA